TGGATAGGCAGAGCCAGCTGTCGCTCACGCAGCTGGGCGGATCCCGGCACAATTGTCGGGATCCGCTTCAGCTGCGGCGTCTCAGTATACCGCGAGCTGTAGCTCCCTATATACTGAGCTTTGGGTCACGGGAGGACGCTAGTTTGTTGCCTCCCGTTACACTTAGGAGAACTATGGGGGAAAGCCCTAACAACATAGTTCTCCTTTAAAGAATATAGGATCTGCAACACCAAGAATATTAGTTACATCCGATTATTGACACACGTTTGGAATGTCAGTGAGTAAGAGGCACATACAGCGTTGTCTAGTAGAGCAGATAACCGTTCGGATCTGGAATCATAAAAGCAAAAATGGACCACCTGGAAGACAACGGTGACCGATCCTCTTACATGAGCGCCATTAATCGGGATCAGACATATTAGCAGCACAGGCAGAAAGTTATCGGCTCGCTAGATTTCTGGCAGGATCAACATGCTTTTATAGGTATACTGTACGTTGAAGACCAAAAGGGAATAAATAAGAGGCGTTCATTGTCAGGATTGGTATACACTTTAAGTCTGACGTTGTGCTCTGTTGTCTGGGAGCTCGGTGATTTGTTAGGTGCTTTCCTCTATATTCCCGGGATCAGCTGCTATCGATCATCATCAGCGTTCGATACTTTCTGCCTTCGTGGCTCGTTATCAATCTTGATGACAACCTGTTGATTGATCGTCACTTGTTTGTACTTTCCTCATCATGGAATGGTCATTCCCTCCTTGTTGTCTGGTACCTCCCCTCCCCCCCATACACTTAATTGCTAATCACTTCTGCTATTCTCAGTAGGATTATATTCTTTGGAAGAGTCTTATTGACTTATATAGGCCATGGGGTTGGAGCGTTCCATATTCTAGTTTAGGAGCTACTCCATTTGTCCTGTTGTTGGTCACCTGACACAGACGGAAGGATTTTTTGGCTTTGCATCACAGTACCTTGTGTATTATGTTGAAGCCTAAAAGAATCTCCAAACCTCATCTGAACATTAATAATAATAGAAATATAATTAAACCCAAGAACAGCATGTGATATATAGTAGATGACCGATGTTTTAGTATCCGTGTGGTAGATGTGGCGGCTGCATTCCAGCGCCTCAGTCATACATGTTCTAGGAGCAATATGGTGAGAGGGGTTCTAATTAGGGATGCACCAATACCGGTATTTTAGTATCGAATACGAGTAGCAATATTTTTTTTCCGTTACTTGCCAATACCGAATACCGGTACCGGAAGTCCTATTAAGGAAGCCAGGCGGCATGTAAAGACTCGCCAACCGGCTTCCCGATTAGCAGGCAAGCCGTCCCCATGCTTTAGTAGGTAGGTGACGAGAATGAATAGAAGCCGGCTTTCTGGCCAATCAGGAAGCCGGGCGCTGCGTCATTACACAGCGCCTGACTTCCTGATTGGCCAGCTTCCGACCAATCAGGAAGCCGGCTTCATGCTCTCTCGTGATGAGAGAGCATGGAGCCGGCTTCCCGGCCGATCATGAAGCCGGGCAGCGTGTAATGACGCGCTGCCCGGCTTCTTGATTGGTCTGGAAGCTGGCCAATCAGGAAGCTGGCCTTGTGAGGTAAGGTTACCTTA